TAATTGCCTCGTCAAACTACGAAAACGTTCGTTTGCCACAAAATAAATTACACTTGTTTGACTTAGATTTGAGGGCATGGGCTTGAGCATGATGTAATTATGTTATCTATCACATTCGCTAACCTGTCTGTCTTTAAATTCTTTAAACAGCTCTGGATGCCGGTTGGCGAGGTGCTTAGCCAAGTCTGATGTGTTGGCTCCCTTGGTTTGCAGGGATCTAAAACATGTCTGACAGACAGGCCTCGTGGTGTCCGTAGGCTTGACCTCACTGTCAGAGATATCGCTCAAATACTTCCAAATGTCGCTTCTGGCGTCTTTGTTGTCAACAAGCCGAGGCGCAGCGGCAGTTGCACTCCCACTTGCAGCCATGCTTCTCGTTTTCTCACATGCTCTGGCAGCTAGCACGTGGCCGCGTGGACGAGAGAGGGGAGGGACTTAGAGCGTGCTTGAGAGGGGAGGGACTTAGAGCGTGCTTGAGAGGGGAGGGACTTAGAGCGTGCTTGAGAGGGGAGGGACTTAGAACGTGCTTGAGAGGGGAGGGACTTAGAACGTGCTTGAGAGGGGAGGGACTTAGAGCGTGCTTGAGAGGGGAGGGACTTAGAACGTGCTTGAGAGGGGAGGGACTTAGAACGTGCTTGAGAGGGGAGGCACTTAGAACGTGCTTGAGAGGGGAGGGACTTAGAACGTGCTTGAGAGGGGAGGGGACTTAGAACGTGCTTGAGAGGGGAGGGACTTAGAGCGTGCTTGAGAGGGCAGGGACTTAGAGCGTGCTTGAGAGGGGAGGGACTCTAGAGTGTGCTTGAGAGGGGAGGGACTTAGAGCGTGCTTGAGAGGGGAGGGACTGCAGGCACGGCTGCAGTGCAGGGAGTGGAAGCAGAGCGCTGAAAACACACGGCTCTTATTAAAACGGCGCTTTCTCACCGGAGTACTTTTCCCCGTCATTCTTAAAGTACCGATACTAATGAAACGGAGGAATCGTACCGTTTTTAACGGCAGGGTATCGCGGTACCTTTCAAGTATCGGTACACCGTGCAACACTAGTGTCAAGATGGTAGCACTCCATTTGTGAAACTTTGAGAAAAGCCTTTGCGAGGGTCGCTGCCCGATGACCTTTACAAACCTTCGAGGTCAAAGCCTGACCTTCACCGTTGTCGATCAGCGCCTCACTGAGAAACACAGGTGTTCATGTTGTTCTTAATGACCTTTGACGTTTAAGGGTGTTTTTTAACAGCTAAGAGCAACATGCAAACCTGTTCCGCACACTTGACTTCACCTCTTGACATCCTCCAACCCGAAAACATAACCGACCGAGGCGTAGAACAAAATGTCATTTTCAAATCAAAACATGTCAATTTTCGCTCTGAAACAAAGTGTGTATGACACAGTGAGCAATCGGAGCATCCGGTTCCCAGACACACTCCCGTACAGGTGGCTGCCAGAAATGTTCCCTGCAGTGCTACTGTGCTCATCAGCTGCTCGGTGGAGCGAGTGTCAGGCCGTCGACTCGCATCTTCAGCCATTACCTTGATGTGCAGAAATGTGGGCTGACGGTGCAGGGAAACATTAACTGTTTTAGATGTCTGAGACACGGAGATAGGTGACAAATTAGAAGCTGTCAATCACATTAAGCACCGACGCGGAGACTTTAAACTCATGTTAGCTTCTCCACGCAGGTGTTTCCTCCACATTTACTTACCCCTGAAGGACTTTTAAAGGTCTGCTATAGGACTAATCTACATTCTTTACCGTGTTATGTTATGGCTGGATGGGACTGAGCTGAACTGTTCACCTCGGTTCCTGCAGCAGCTTGACTTCCTGCTGCCCTCAGAGCTGTGTCCATACTTGTTCTAAATGTGGATTCATGAGTGCTTCATCCTGCTTTCAGCATTTCTGTCATTCTTAGAAACATTTGATTTAGGTTATGTTTGAAGGTTGAGTACTTTTTTTGTAATTTAAATCTTTATTGTCACATTATACATGGCAATAAAATGCTGGTTACAACAACATTACATCATGTAACAAAAGGCCAGCAAGGAAATATAAATAAAATAAAAGGCTTGGGATATGTCTTCATGTTATTATATTCTTGAAGATACATGTATCTATTGTTCCAGTCTAATGTCTTTGTTTTGAGTCTTGTATAGAGTCCATTTTCCCCACTTTCTGTTGAGTTGGGTTTCTTGCAATCTCAATTTATAAGTCAGCTTCACTGTGTTGGACTGACTTCCTTAGTTTTGAGATAGAAACCAAAGCAGGTTGTCTTGTGTTTGATGGGAGATTTAAGATTGGGTTTCCCTTCAAGTTAGAGTCCATTGTTCCCTGGCCTCTCATTACAGGTTAGAGTTTCCCTCCTGGCTATTGTTATGGTCCGCCTGGAGGTCGAGGACTGAACAGAAGCTAATGTCAGGACAAAATGATCAGTAGGATTTAGGGTTCCCCGTCTTTCTTTATTTCAAGACGTGGGTCACTCAAAGTTCAATGTTTTAAGTGTTTATGACTCATAATCCTAAAACAACCTAATTGTAATTCTGCTTTGAGCTCAAGGCTTTTAAGGTTTCGCAATTTGGGAAGAAAAAACTTATCACAATTATTATTGACTCATATTGCAATTGCGATCATTCTTATTATCAATGAAAAGTATATTAGATAGGGTGTCATTTTAAGAGGCTCTGTATCAAACAAATATATTTTCTTAAGTTTGTGCAAAATGATTTGTAGGCCAGGATATCTCTTAACCTCTTCAATGCCTTTAACACATATTCTACATCTTGCAAGTTGAATATTGCACTAGTTCATATCACTTTAACTAGTGTCTCTACTTTAAAGAGTCCTCTCCTGCTGATGTTCAGGTGTATATCAGTATGTAGTGTCTCTACTTTAAAGAGTCCTCTCCTGCTGATGTTCAGGTGTATATCAGTATGTAGTGTCTCTACTTTAAAGAGTCCCTCTCCTGCTGATGTTCAGGTGTATATCAGTATGTAGTGTCTCTACTTTAAAGAGTCCTCTCCTGCTGATGTTCAGGTGTATATCAGTATGTAGTGTCTCTACTTTAAAGAGTCCTCTCCTGCTGATGTTCCAGGTGTATATCAGTATGTAGTGTCTCTACTTTAAAGAGTCCTCTCCTGCTGATGTTCAGGTGTATATCAGTATGTAGTGTCTCTACTTTAAAGAGTCCTCTCCTGCTGATGTTCAGGTGTATATCAGTATGTAGTGTCTCTACTTTAAAGAGTCCTCTCCTGCTGATGTTCAGGTGTATATCAGTATGTAGTGTCTCTACTTTAAAGAGTCCTCTCCTGCTGATGTTCAGGTGTATATCAGTATGTAGTGTCTCTACTTTAAAGAGTCCTCTCCTGCTGATGTTCAGAGTGTATATCAGTATGTAGTGTCTCTACTTTAAAGAGTCCTCTCCTGCTGATGTTCAGGTGTATATCAGTATGTAGTGTCTCTACTTTAAAGAGTCCTCTCCTGCTGATGTTCAGGTGTATATCAGTATGTAGTGTCTCTACTTTAAAGAGTCCTCTCCTGCTGATGTTCAGGTGTATATCAGTATGTAGTGTCTCTACTTTAAAGAGTCCTCTCCTGCTGATGTTCAGGTATATCAGTATGTACTGTGTAGTGTCTCTACTTTAAAGAGTCCTCTCCTGCTGATGTTCAGGTGTATATCAGTATGTAGTGTCTCTACTTTAAAGAGTCCTCTCCTCCTGATGTTCAGGTGTATATCAGTATGTAGTGTCTCTACTTTAAAGAGTCCTCTCCTGCTGATGTTCAGGTGTATATCCGTATGTAGTGTCTCCACTTTAAAGAGCCCAGTCTGCTCTGATTGGTTAGCTGGCCGGCTCTGTTGTGATTGGTCAACCGCTTACAGATGTCCCGCCCCTTATGCTATCACGTATGTGTTGGAGCGCTAGCCAATAGAAGCGCAAGAGTTAAATAGTGATGTTACTATGTTACAGAAGTAAACAAAGGAGTCCAATGGAGGCATTTCAGTTTCCCTCCTGAGGGAACTTTAGGATTTTAGCCTTTGCAGACCATTTACTTGCACAAAAACCTCTATAACACACTAAGGAAGGTAAAACCCCAAACAGCATCATATGGCCCCTTTTTAAAAAGCACCACAATGAGTTCCTGTACTTTATTTCACAGTTTGAGAAGTCTGCAAGTCGCCCCCTCAGCTTCTTGTTTTAATGAGTTACTCCCCTTCTCAGACAGCATGCCTCCCATCTTCTCCTCCTGACCCGCTGTCCCTCCATCCATTCCATCACTCCTCTATTTTACCAGCCAGTTATTAAAGTAGATCTTATTAAAAGCGGGAGAAGAAGCTAATCTATATTTGCATTCAGTCTATAGCAATTCATTAATATTATGACATTTACAGGGAGCTTGGCGGGGCCCCGGCTGCCTGCTACCCTTTTCCCTCTGAAATGTTAATTTAAAAAAGTTCTGTCTTTGTAATGGAATAAGAAATCCTCTCTTGCCCTATCAATTCTGCGCGTCTGGTGAGGAATACTAATTCATCAGCGCTTCCAATTGAGAAAGCATGTCAGTCTGATGGAATAAGAAAATGCAGAATTGGTTTTAAAGTCCTTAATGCCACGAGTTGTGTGTATTTCTCTTTTAATCTGCAGGAGGAAAGATGGAGTTTATGCCTGCTTTCCCCCGTGTGTGTGTGTGTGTGTGTGTGTGTGTGTGTGTGTGTGTGTGTGTGTGTGTGTGTGTGTGTGTGTGTGTGTGTGTGTGTGTGTGTGTGTGTGTGTGTGTGGTGTGTGTGTGTGTGTGTGTGTGTGTGTGTGTGTGTGGTGTGTGTGTGTGTGTGTGTGTGTGTGTGTGTGTGTGTGTGTGTGTGTGTGTGTGTGTGTGTGTGTGTGTGTGTGTGTGTGTGTGTGTTTTTGTGTATTTCAAATAACAGCTTCTGAAGTATGTGTTAAATCAAAGATCAATAATCAAGTGAATTAAATAGGGTACGAAGATGTATTTGAATTGTTAATTTCTTTGTGTTTCAGACTACTCACCATGTGTACGAGGCACTTTGGCAGCGTGGTCACACAGACTATCCGCACATACAAGACAGACCAGTTCCCCCTGCTGCTTATAGTCATGGGAAAACGCACATCGAATGAAGTTCTAAATGTTATTCAAGGTAATTATGACTTTATTATATGTAGTGTTAACCGTAGCATGTATATACGTGTCTGTAATTAATGTAAGAACACAAAGGAGTACATCACACCTTGTTTTGTCTCCAGGTAATACGACAGTGGACGAGCTGATGATGAGGTTAATGGGAGCGATGGAGATCTTTACAGCACAACAACTAGAGGACATCAAAGACGAGGTGAGCTTTGAGTTCAAAAGAAACACAAACGTCAAGCTGTGACTCTTAAACATGTAGAAAATGCTTTGGTTTATTACTTAAATCAACTTTCTATGACGTGTGTAATGGACCTTATTCTGTTTTAAATGAAAGAATCGGCTGTTGATTTGAATGGCTTGGTGTCCTTGGGTGTCATGAAAGGCGCCTTAAAAGAAATGTATTATTATTATTTCAGACTCCTTTTAATAGCTAGACAAAGCATAGAGTGCCGCAGTGACGCGTCCTAAAACCCGGAAGTAAGTTAGCATTTGACCACTTCCGGTTCCTTCGACAAAAAGCAATCTCTCCAGAGGGTTTAGGAAAATATCTGAACTAAGGTCTGTGGTTGAGACGCATTGAAGAGACGGATCACGTTTTGTTCTACGACATTAAATCCATCAGCAGTGACCCCTCTGGTGATTTCTGAAGAGTTGACGTGTCTGAGAAACGATGGTTGTTACCAAGTGGCTGAATAGGACTACAGAAGTCGTCGAGGCCGTTGAACGTCATTACGCCGAACACGTGAACACTCCTCTAAGTTAGTTTCTGTTCTGCTTGAAAGCAAGTCCCTGCCTCCTGCAAAGTGTTCAAACAAACGCTTCAACTCGTTCCATTTAGAATCTGTGTGTTTGAATATGGATCTGAAGTTGGCGTGACGTTGAAGCAGCGACCCTGCTGTAGTTCGTTGATAGCATAACGTTGCTTCTGGCGACTAGATTTATGATTATAAAAGTAGGATAGACATGTGGAGATTATCCGGCTGAACAAAACGTGATCCGTCTCTTCAATGTGTTTCAACCACAGACCTGATTTCCAGCTATTTTCCAAAACCCTATGGAGAACTTGCGTTTTTGTCGAAGGAACCGGGAGGAGTTTACTTCCGGGTTTTAGGACGCATCACTGCGGCACTCTATAGAGATCTGGTTCTCAAGGCTTATAGTACAGTGTACAAATGCAAAAGTGTTCTCAAATAATGTTTAAAAATATTAAAATCAAATGTATTTATAGTTTGAAAAGTGAAAATACTCATTCTGCACAACAGCCCATTTCACATAACACAACATATATTATTGAGTTATAATTATCGGTGGTAAAGGATGAGCTTCTCTTTTGCACACTGCACTGCCAGGGAGCATGTGAGTTTCCCCGAGGGATCAGTAAAGTGTTGTCATAACTTTAAGTAATACTGTATACATTATTTGTGACTATATGTTGTATGTATCGATCTAAATCTGGATCTCAAAAGTCACTACATTTTTCACATAACTGTAGTGAAGTAGAAAGATCAATCTTTGCCTCTGAATTTTATTGGAGTAAATGGAATTTACCTCAAGAAGAAAAGTACCTCAAATTTGAATAGTCCTTGTGCAAATGTACTTACTCTTCACCACTCTTCCATTCATCATTCGAATTGTGTTTATCTTAGTATCCTCGGTTTGGACTTTAAGGACAGTCTTTTAGGGTTCATGCACCTACTGTCCACTACTGTCTCCAGGAATATAACAATCCATCTTTATCTTAGTTTATTTAGCCCTTGACTTTGGCCACATTCAAGGATCCTTAAGAGACAGTTGAGCCAGTGTTTAACATCCTTTTTTAACGATAAAGTGCAGCATGCTAGGACATATCAGACAACCGTGTTTAACTGTGGCATTCTTGTAATGACAGGCAGTGAATGGCTCACCATCTCTCCTCCTTCCTCTTTAGTTGTACGTTATTGTGCTCCTGCAGTCTTTGTGAAACTGTGCTGCAGTGTGTCCGTCGACTGCCTCTTTAACTCCAACACAAACACACTCCAAACAGTGAAGTGAGGGGACAGTGGTGGGAGGGTGTTCATGCTATAGACAGGAATCTGGGACAGTATGACGGGAGTAAGACTTTCACCTGACCCTCTTTACAACATTCACTGTGTGTGTACTCAGTGGCATCAAACGACAGAGTGAAGGACACACTGTGTGTTTCTGTCCAGACAGGTTAGAGTAATCCACACAAACTCTCCTTTTCTCTTTGATTTATTATTACTAATGGTCAGGTTTAGGAATTAGCAACAATACAGAACATACAGTCTCTCTTTAGACTAATAAGTGTTTTCAAATATTGGAAACTATCTCAATGAAGCCCATGTCTATAAAAGCAATAGCGGCAATATGAAAGAAAAATACACACTGTTCAAAATAAAATAGTCCCTCCGTTGCCTTCTGCACGAAACATAGTTCGAGGTGGTTGCTATGCAACAATGCTAACAGCTAGCGAACATATTAGACAGAGAGCGTTGATCCATTATTTGGCTATTTATTTACATTCATGTGTATGTTGCTGTTTATTGTGCAGCCACTGAAAACCTGTCCAGCATCAGTAGCATGCTTACGAGGTTACTTGTAGGTTGAGGAATCTAGGTTGTTGCTTGGCGTGGCGAGCATATTGCTTCACTTTCTCCGGTCCCCGAGATTGGGCTTCCAGCAGCTCTGGAGAGAGCTTTCGCACCTGTGGCCACTAACGCTCATCATGACTCTGCTTTGTTTCAAGACCCGCATCAGAAAGCTTTTGAATGGTGGCACTTCTCCAGTTGGTCTGCCTGCTCTTCACGTAGCTCTGCATGTCGTCGTTTAGGTGCTCTCTGGAGATAGGCACTGCTCAATCCAGTCCTCCATAGTAAGACCCCCCAGAGGTCCAAGTTAACTTAAATGTTTCCATCTTAAGCTTTGTTAGTTAGTTTCGGACGTAATGTAACAGCTGTAACGGTTGTAGCTTTTTCTCAGACGCGGAGGGATACTGACTTGTTGTGAAAAGTAACTACAATTCTACCCGTGATATACGCTCATCATATCACGGCTAAGAACCAATCAGATTGCTTGATTTGACTTGTCCGTTTTATAAACTGCATTATATACTTATAATCTGCCTATAGCACAGTATGTATATGTATTACTTAATATTTAATCATATTCATAATGCTTACAATAATAATCACAACACCGTATAAAGACGTTTCATAAATACTCACGTTTCATTATACTTTTTTTGTAGTAAGTAAGTATTATTTGTTATAAACCCAAGTTGCAATACATTATAAAATGTTATTAAAACAGTGATTATAACAAGTATAATACCTCTAAATGGTCATAGTTTAAGTAAAGTGAATAAATATGATCAAATCAGTGCAATAACAACAGACAAGACGTTGTAAAATGAACTGAAGATGTACAGGTAATCATATAGTTAAGATATATTCGTGACCATTTATATAACCCCATTCTTCTTCGTACATATCACGCATGTTTTGGTATGTGTGTGTCAGCTGTGGATATGTCTCTAATATTCTCACACAACTACAGTATCAATAGATGTCAGATGTCACGGCATATTAAGAGTTTAACAGTTGAAACAGTCAGTCAACCAAAATGATTCTCCAACAATGTTAATGTGACAGCATTTCAGTTATGGGAACCACAGATGTCACACACACGCACACACACAAACACACAAACACACACACCCTGAGGGTCAGACTTCTTCAGGTGAGTATTGAGTGATAGCTTTGTGTTGTTATTTTTGCTACAAGGCTTCATTTTCTATAGGATTCGTCACACTTCATAATAATTATCAATGACAACCGGTATTCAGAGTATGTTCATGAGTCAGATCAAACTGTGAATCATGAAGTGTGTTCAGTAGGTTCACACGTAAGGTGGGGTTGCTTCATATTAGTTCCAATGGAATACGAAAGTGCAAAACGTTTCTCATGACCTTACTTTGATAAATATGAGCATTTATTTCTATAATGCTCAGTTTTTCAGTTTACATGCAAGCTTAAGTTCTCAAAAGATCAATGTTTTCGGAAACAAAAGCTGCCTTTGCAGAAACTAAAAGGCTTTAAAGAGGCCCTAGTATGCTTTTTTGTTGTTTCCCTTTCCTCTAGTGTGTTATATAGGTTTTAGTGCATGTAAACGGTATACAAAGGCAAACATCGCCCCCACTAAGTAACACTCACGCTTCTATTGACTAGCGCTCCAACTCATTGTACGTGATCTCTAAGTGGTCGACCAATCACAACAGAGCCGGCCAGCTAATCAATCAGAGCAGACTGGGCTCTGGTTTCAGACAGAGGGTGAAAGGAGGAGCTGCAGCACAGGCACTAAATACTGATATACACCTGAACATCAGCAGGAGAGGACTCTTAAAGTAGAGGCACTACATACTGATATACACCTGAACATCAGCAGGAGAGGACTCTTTAAAGTAGAGACACTACATACTGATATACACCTGAACATCAGCAGGAGAGGACTCTTTAAAGTAGAGACACTACATACTGATATACACCTGAACATCAGCAGGAGAGGACTCTTTAAAGTAGAGACACTACATACTGATATACACCTGAACATCAGCAGGAGAGGACTCTTTAAAGTAGAGACACTACATACTGATATACACCTGAACATCAGCAGGAGAGGACTCTTTAAAGTAGAGACACTACATACTGATATACACCTGAACATCAGCAGGAGAGGACTCTTTAAAGTAGAGACACTACATACTGATATACACCTGAACATCAGCAGGAGAGGACTCTTTAAAGTAGAGACACTACAAACTGATATACACCTGAACATCAGCAGGAGAGGACTCTTTAAAGTAGAGACACTACATACTGATATACACCTGAACATCAGCAGGAGAGGACTCTTTAAAGTAGAGACACTACATACTGATATACACCTGAACATCAGCAAGAGAGGACTCTTTAAAGTAGAGACACTACATACTGATATACACCTGAACATCAGCAGGAGAGGACTCTTTAAAGTAGAGACACTACATACTGATATACACCTGAACATCAGCAGGAGAGGACTCTTTAAAGTAGAGACACTACATACTGATATACACCTGAACATCAGCAGGAGAGGACTCTTTAAAGTAGAGACAATACATACTGATATATACCTGAACATCAGCAGGAGAGGACTCTTTAAAGTAGAGACACTACATACTGATATATACCTGAACATGAGCAGGAGAGGACTCTTTAAAGTAGAGACACTACATACTGATATACACCTGAACATCAGCAGGAGAGTACTCTTTAAAGTAGAGGCACTACATACTGATATACACCTGAACATCAGCAGGAGAGGACTCTTTAAAGTAGAGGCACTACAAACTGATATACACCTGAACATCAGCAGAGAGGACTCTTTAAAGTAGAGACACTACATACTGATATACACCTGAACATCAGCAGGAGAGGACTCTTTAAAGTAGAGACACTACATACTGATATACACTTGAACATCAGCAGGAGAGGACTCTTTAAAGTAGAGACACTACATACTGATATACACCTGAACATTTGCATAAAAGGGCCCCTTTAATGGTTCTAAGGGGCCTCAAAGTGAAATACATGAATAAATGCAGATCATAAAGCTGCTCTGATGTTTCATATGCAAGCTCACATGTCATTTTGATACCACAGAATACAGTCCTTCTTCGTTGGTTTACTGCAACATTAAATGGTTTTGTTTTAAAATGATTTATTTTCCTACAAGCTCATTTGATTTTGTCTTCTTCATGGCATTTTCCCAAAGCAGTTATCACTTCTTTCATGATCATTGCAACAACTTGCTTGGTGTCCGTCAGACGAAAGGAAACCAGATGAATCATTGCATTAGAGTTCAGTAAAGCTGTTGTGAGAGTTATTAAAGTGTGATAATTACCCAGGCGTGGTCTGCCAGAAGGAAATAGCTTGTGCAAATGTCAAAGTGGAGATTAAGTGATGCTGAGAGCGTAATGTATTGTGTGATTAATCATGATTAGTTCCAATAACCACAGGACTTTAGTATATCCTGTATCTGACAGGACGTATCCTACTCAGAGGTGAAGTCAACCTCGACACTTCTCCTATCTTCACTCTAGCTGCTCTCAGGCTCTGGATAATTTCCCTACAGCTCCTTTCACTCGTTCTCCTTCTTTTCACCTCATCCTTTGAAAAGACAAACTCAGACACGAACACAGACACCCGCCCAACCCACACATTCCTCTTTGACAGTGACTTTTGTGTCTGTCTGGAAAAGGAGCAGCTGGACGGCCACATTGTGTCTTTAAAGCAGCCTGCTCACTGGCCACTCGTTCCTCTGGTCGTCTGTGTTTTAGCTCAGAAGTTCCTAACAGACGAGTCACTGCAGATTCTGTGGTATGTGTCTGTCAACGGCTTTTCTCAGCTCCGGTCATTTCACATGACGAGCAGCCAGAACTAACAAATGATCAGTTTGGGTCAAGGACACCAAACATGCATATCTTTTGACGGCATTAAATGTCCACATAAAGGACTGTAGAGGAGAGGAATTCTGGACTTTTACCTTACCTTTAAAACATAGAACAGATAAAGACTTGGACATAACAGCACAATACATGAAACAAATATAAGCACAGGTACAATTTACAATGCATATAAAGAAGTTCAGACAGAAAATAAAACATTGTTAAGATACTAGACGTTTATTGCAGTGGTGCAGTGGGTTGTGCGTTGGTGTTGGGGTCAGGGGGTCACAGGTTCAAACCCCACTGCAGTCAGCATGTTGTTGTGTGCCTGAAGACACTTCACCCCAAATTGCTCCTGTGGGGATTGTCCACAATATTGAGTATTTAGTTAGTCGCTTTGGATAAAAGCGTCTAACAAGTGACATGTAATGATATGTAATGTCATGTATGCCCTCTCCTGTGCATTAGGGCATTGAAGGCAGATGGTGCATTTGAACTACTTGTTTGCGTGACTCAGCGCCGGTCTATTGAAGGTGGCCACTTTTGATGCTTTTGTCCCCTCTCCTCCATTCTTTTTACAGTTTCCTTTCAATGTTCACCTATTATGCGGGCCAAAAGCACAAATGTATCCTTTGCATTTCTCTTGATTGAATGCAACAATACACACTGTCCTTTTTGCCGCACAGTAGCCCTCTGATCGTCACAATAAGCTTACTTTGCCATATCCGGGCTGGCACACAGCATGGGCCTTCAGAGCACGGGAAACTAATGGTGGAGCGCTGCGAACACAATGGACACTGGTTTTTCAGTCCCAGTCTTTATAAAACACTTTGTAGCCACAGCAGGTAGAAAGAGAAGGGCCGCCTGTCCCCTTCCCTCTGTACAAACAGGAAGGAGAAAGGGACGGTGAAACTGAGATGAGAGGAAACATAAAGGAGGCTCTGGCTTTGGTAAAGGACGGTCACAATGAAGCCCCTCTGGTGCCACTCTTTCATACCTGGTGTTTGTACGTGACCACACTTGACATGCTGCATTTCCCTCTCCGGCTCCCACACCCGTCACCTCGGCTTCAGATGTTTTGTGTTCCTTTTTATTGTGTTGTTAGTTAATGGGCCCCACTTTCTTTCTTTCTTTGTTTCTCCCCCTCTGCACCCAGGACGAACGAGAGATAAGAGAGACGGTGAAGAGGGAACAGGACGAGGCCTACCGCGTGTCTTTAGAAGCCGACCGTAAAAAGGTATCTTTGTCAAATAAATCTAAATGTCTGACTTGTATCACTGCACTCTGAGAAAGTTGTGGTATTCTAGGCAGTACATGTACAGGTTTAAGCAAAACATGTCTCTATATGTGTCACATTAATTGCTTGTATTAGATTTAAATAGATGAGACTCTTAATAAACTAGGTTTTCTGGATCTCTTGTTAAATGTCAGTACCAATTATAGGAAACTTATAAAAGTGTCTACTTATATCATTGCATTTTGAGTAAGTTGTGGTATTCTAAGCAGTAGACGTACACCATGTACAGGTTTAACCAAAACATCTCCTTATATGTGTCAAATTAATCGCTTGTATTTAGGGGTGTAACGGTTCACAGCATTCACGGTTCGGTATGTACCTCGGTTTGGGGGTCACGGTTTGGTACGGGTTCGTTCAAAATAAATAAAAAACAAACCTGGAATTATGCATTTGGGATTTTTTTTGCTTTTTCTTGTTGTACCTTAAAAAATAAGGAACTCTAACATTTTGAATAATTAACTTTATTACACAGTTAAAAACAAACAGTACCACACACAATCAGATGGCCATATTATCTATAATGGCTGATGTCAAACAAAAAGGTTCAATAAGCTGTAAAACTAAAAAGAATGTCTTGAACCGTGACGTCCGAACCGTGACGGTACGGGACGAATACGGATACCGTTACACTCCTACTTGTATTAGATTTAAAGAGATGAGACTAATAAACTAGGTTTCCTAGATCTCTAGTTAAATGTCAGTAACAAATATTGAGAGGATACTTGTCTACTTAAATCACTGCACTTTGAGTAAGCTGTGGTATTCTAGACCAGGGGTTCCCCGAGTGGGGGTCGCGAGATGATTACAAAATACTTTTTTTTATCAATCTTTTTTTTAATAATTAATAATAACGTGTGCATAGACATTTTTCAGGGGCGGACTGGCCATCTGTATAATTTCCCCGCAGCGAGGCTCCCCCCGTTGACAATCCACTGCAGTGTTTCTCAAACTTTTTCATACCAAGGACGCTTAACCAATAATAAAAAACGTTTATTCAGCCCCAACAGCAGCCTCTGATCATCAACAGACTTCATGCAATGCTTCATCGGATGCATATATTAGATAATAATCTCTATCTCATCTAAATCTACTTCCAGCATGGATAAATGTTCATGAAAGACATCCATTGTTTGTTTTATACGCTTCTTGAAATCCTAAAAAACACGTTTTTCTAGAACAGATTATAAATCGCCTGAAAATGGTACAAACAAGTGGCAACATGTGTGACGAAGGTGTTGCGCTGGGCTATATCATGCAATCGAGAGTGAAACTTAAGCTCGCTCCATTGCGGAGATATTCCCGCGAGAGTGCGGAAAACTTAAATGAATTACATTACATTGCATTTAGCTGACGCTTTTATCCAAAGCGACTTACAATAAGTACATTCGACCAGGAAGACACAACCTTGAAGAAAACAGAATCATATAAGTACATCAGGTTTCAGTACATAGGTTTTCATTAATGAATTTGAAAGTCTCTCTGGCGCTGTTATTTTGGGGGTCGCGGGCTGAAAAGTTTGGGAACCCCTGTTCTAGACAGTACTTATTAACAAATAAGCATAAGCACAAACTTTTCCTATGATTTCAACTTATTTTTCTGAACAGTAATCACCTCCACTGTCTTGTTGTACAATTGTAACTAGTTTGTTTTCCTAATAAAGCCATACATAAATGAGTCAATAGACAATAATAGATAATAGTTTGGCAACGGTCTTGATTATCGTTGAACTCCTTCAAGTAAAGAATATTCCAACTTTTCAAAAGGGAGGATTTGATTTGTGTCACGTCATTTATATTAGATTGAAATACTTGAGTATCCTTACAGCTAAGTTACTTGACCCTCATAACATAATAGAAACGTACTCAAATAAGACTTCATAACCAGTGGGAAACAGTAACTGTCTTACAGATTGCATGTCACATTATCGTCTTGATTCTGCCATTCCATCCTTTTTTTAAATCACATAAATGTCTTTCTTTTTCAGAGAGAGGCCCAAGAGAGAGAAGAGGCGGAGCAGAATCGCCTGGAGCGGAAAAGAAAGGAACAGGAGGACGAGAAGGAGGTGAGACACACACACACACATGCAGATGAACTCAATTAATATGCCAGCTTCATCAGTGCATTGTGCTGTCATGTTTGATCTGTTTTGCTCTCACTTCTCAACAATGACTCAATTAGATTCTGGTTTTGGTGACGCGAGCGTATTTCAGAATAATAATATATCCTAATTACAGCGAGGCTCTGCTCACGTCACCTCACATGCACACAGTTATTGTTCTGTGTGACTGCTTTACATTGGTACAGCACAACCGCCTCATATTGAAACCTGAGTGAACAAAAGACTCAGGCTTGAGCAGAAACACACACAAAACCTAAGCAAACACACATATTCACTTGAAAACAATTATTGTATGTGTAGAGGGGGCAGACACGCACACTGTCACGCATGCAGGGAAAACAATAATTGTCTGTGAGGATGGCACCATGTAGTAATACAGTCTATAGTCATACAGTGTAGTCGCGCTGATTGTTGTTTGCTCACCAGAAGAGCCCTGAGGCCCGGAGAGGTATTGGGTGACCCGGCTCGCTCAGGTGATTTGTCACTTTAGTTAAACAGAAAACAACAAAAGAGCCTCGGGTAGGGCATCTTAATTATCACTGTAGTCCACCAACTGAACTGTGTGTATTTTAAACAACAATAGCCACTATGGCCTTCTGTTTCCAACTTAGGTCAATTGTTTCTCTGCCCGGTCAACGGTTCCCATGGAGTCTCCTGAGCTAACAAACTAGCGTTGTGCTACAGTCGAGATTTTCATAAATCTGTAGGACAACAACAGCTGCTGGAGGACAATGGCAACTTGAGTTTCTTAAACAGGACTTACAATGAATTTAAAGTGGGCAGTGGACATGTTGTTGTGTGGTCGTCTTGTTTTGATGAGCTTTGGTCCCCAGAAACACTGCTAGACAACACTTTAAGATTTTTAGGAATTAACAGTTTTTCAACTTTTTGTTTTTGGCTGTTTCCGATATTTTTCCGAATGTAAGAAGAAATACAAATGTGCTTTTGCTTGTAGCAGCTTGAGTCGGACATTCTTTTTCAACAATATATAAAGTAAGATAGATGTGTATTTAATAGAAAACTCAAATGTGTCTTTATTTACATATTCAAGTAAGCAAGTTATTATTGGATTTGAGCATTTACATTTCCGACAATGCTTTTTATCTGAACAGTTCAACTGATTCTTTTTCTGACTTACTATGTTGTCACTTACTAAAATTATCAATAAAGATCAATAGATCTGAATAGTTGCAAAGATTAGTTTTTACTAAATCCGGGTGTCCGCCGGGTATTAAAAAGTTTTAAAAGTTGATAAATCGATTTAGCGAAAATGAAGGCTATTAAAAAGTATGAAACGGCATTTTCCAAGGTATTACATTTTGTAGCTTGTTTTCAATAAGTATATAAATGGTCCAAAGATGTTGTGTTCTACAGTCTGCCTGAATGTAATCATTGCGTAGGTGCAGGGCCGCCCCTGGCCAACTTGGGGCCCCAAGCGACATTGTGAGATGAGGCCCCCCCCCCCCCAACCGACAGGAGTGAACATTTTTTTTTTGGAAACAAAGTAGGCTACTTTGCAAATATAATTCCTGTTTATTATTATTATCAACGGTTACTTTTTTATACAGTGAGATAAATGGTAAATGTGCATGTATGTCGTTCAGTATGGGTTTACAGGTGAATTTTGCATTTCCTGCCAAATACTAGCCTCAAAAAGATAAAAACATAATTAATGCAAATAAACTACTTCTACTAATAATAATCATAATCAATTCAATAATATAAATACTATATTATTTTATTATAATATAGTTGTAATATAGTCAAGACAAAACATGCTTATGACATGCTCAAAAACTGATATTTCTTAAATCTGTATTGTAGTTCCCTCTGTCAGCAATGTATCAACAACTACACACACATTGCTATCAGTATTTCTATGTGTTGTGGTTGACATGATGATGACTGTTAGGAGTTAAGGGGAGAGGCTGAGCATCACCATGAAATGTGCAAATTGACATACAAATTAATAAGAGGGGAACGAATGCTCCATGTTTTTTAAGCTGTAAACTTTAACTGTTATGTAAGCCAACTAGACAGACAGTGTATCTCTCTTCCTCCTGTACATCAGCAGATAAAAGGCATCACATAATGAATGAATGGTAAATAAAGAATGCTGGAAATAACTGCATCTCCATTAGCCTATGCTCTGCAGAGACTGCCTTCTTCATGTCGTGAATTGCAGCTGATGTTTTAAGATGGCAATTTGACTTATACAACATTCGTAAGTTGTACATTTGACTCATTCAATAACCCACCTTCGAGTGATGCGCTAGTTTCTTCATGTTTTGTTTTTTGCGCCGGACTGAAACTGTTTTTTCACCGACATCTCTTCACCTGCACTAGTGGCCGTATCAAAGCCGTGATTGGTCAGATGTCGATTCATTGCAACGGTGTCGGGTTACAAACGTGCTCCTCTTGTCACCTCGGAGAACTGCGCACAGCAGCTGAGGCCCTCTGGGCGGGGCCCCCTGTGCAAGGCGGGGCCCCATGCAGCCTGCGTGATTGGCCTGTAGGGAGGGGCGGCCCTGCGTAGGTGTGTAGTGTGATTCTGTGTAGTTTATTGATGGCATCCCGTTGGGTTTGACGTCATCTGAACAGGACATCGCACGCTCACTGCTTGATAGCGCGCGAAGGTCCGTTTACGCCGGTTGTTAAACAACATCATTATGGGGAAATGCAAGTTTGTGCCCCCCGCTTTTTTAACGCTGATTTGGGTGACTTGTGTAATTCGTGGAGAACCGAAGAGTTTTCGTTTTGGGGGGGTCCGTCCGTCCGACTGACGGACAACTTCTCACTTCAAAAAAGAAGAAGAAATCTAGATCGCAAAATAATTAAACAAGCGAGTGCCTGTTTTTCCTGGCCAAGGACAGGTTCCTTGAACACAACACGAGCGTAACGTGTCTTCAAGTGGTTATGTCTCGTCTGAATTTGTGGCGCGTTTCCACTGCAGCGGGTAGCTCGCTTAAGCGTGCCTAGCCGGGAGGGACCCGTTTTTGGTTGCGTTTCCACTTGGCCTAGTTTTGGCCCGGGGCTACTTTTTCACCTTTTTTCTGGCCCGACTAATGGCGCGTTTCCACTGCAGGCCTCGCTCGGCCTCGCTCGGTTTGGTTTGGCCTTAATAGGCCCGGCTCACTTTAATGCTGCGTTTCCATTACAGTTTAGGAACTGGGGCAGTTACTATAGTAACGCAGTGTAGGTGGAGCCGTGACGTCATCTTCAATGAGAGCCCCAGAAAAACAACACAGCCGTTAGCTCTTAGCACTCGGAGCTGACAGCTCTTCATATCTGTTCAGAAACTTGACAAAAGTTAAACAAGTACAAACCACAGACTGCCTGTGTCATGGCGAATACAGTCGCTGGTTTATTTATGTCTGTATAGGCCGTTGTTGTGAGTGTGGACGGTCGGAGCATATATAACGTTAGCTTAGCCAAGCTACATTTAGAAAACACGCATTTTAAAAGGGTTTTCCGCCTGCCTACAAGTCTGCAGACTTGTCAAAGCATTAATTCATGGTTTTTACTAACCGGTATCAGTATGTTGTTACTTCGGCATCATTTTGAAACGTGTATTACAATTAAATCACGGTCAAATATGTTCATCTTGTTGTAGTTGTAGCCGCCTTGCCAGCGATTCTCTCTCTAGTTTAGCATACTCAGCCCGACTCAGCCTGGTTGTTCCTGGCCCTAGAACCACGATTTAGTCGGGCCAGAAAAAAGGTGAAAAAGTAGCCCTGGGCCAAAACTAGGCCAAGTGGAAACGCAACCAAAAACGGGCCCCGCACGGCTCGGCACGCTTAAAGCGAGCTACCAGGGCCAGGAACAACCAGGCTGAGTCGGGCTGAGTATGCTAAACTAGAGAGAGAATCGGAGTGTAGACTAGACTCTAGTCACTAGAGTGCTGACGGAGAGCACCGGAACGCCGCTCCAGCTCTTCAAATATTGCAGTACCCATAAGGAGCCGTACACATGCCGCAGTGTTTGCGTGGTGGCTGTGTCTTTAGTTGTAAGCACAGTGGCGATCTGTTGTTATTAGCATCTGGTTAGCTAGCTATGCTAACGAATTTAAAGAGCTTTTCTACAACCAGGTGGAAGAGAGCTCTCTCCTGAGAGGCTCAAATAACCTCAGCTCAGTGAGGTTAAGGCACACCTTGATATGATCATTATAGTTATTAATGAGACATTAGAGACTAAATGAAAAACAGGAAGGCCAAATGAATGGTCTGTGATTTTAGTTTTTTTAAGCAGAGGTTGAGTTCAATCATTTGTACGACCCTCGGAGGATGTTGTAAAAATTGAAAGGAAAAAGGTTCCTCACCCCTGCTGTAAATAATAATAAAACCCCTTGATTTATAACTTAACATCTCTGTCTCCTTTTGATCTGAGTATATTATAAAGAATAGCCAGTTAATTGAAGCATGGCCTTTGTCAGATGGTATATTACGCTGTTTTTTTTCTGCTTCGAATAGTTCTCTCTTTTTTCACCATACCTGTGTTTGCATCACTGTTAAAAGGTCTTACATTTAACTGCAGGATTCCTGCATATACCCTGTATAACGACAAACTGCTAGATCAGCATAGCGACTGTTAGCTTCTTATTAAATGATCCCTTGTAGGAAGTAATGCAGGTTTTTTATTGTGAAAGGGAGAATGCAAACTGGAGGCAGACTGAAATGCATTTAAAAGTAAGGTTTGTAGGGAAACAATCTTAATGGAGATGGTCTCATAATTCTACAATTAACATACTATCAACATAATATGCCTCGAATTAGATAACGAATATCACCGCAAAAAATGCAACTCCCCCTTCGAACTCAGCAGTTAACAGTGCATGGTGTACACCCTGTTTTTACCTCTAAAGTTGAATTCTACTTTTTCTTGTTTACAGTTTTCCGTTGAGTCCTGTGAGGTAGTAACCTTGTTCTGTATTTGACGGAAACTGC